AGCAAAACACTCTAGAAATTTTTACTGTTTAAAGAGTGATGAATTAAAAAAAATAAAAGATGGCTAGAGTATAGATCCATCAACTATTCTACAACAACGTAAAAGAAACCAAGCAAAGGCAAAGAAAATATAAATCACATGAGCGGAAAGATATTAACCAAGTTGGGACTCAAGAATAAAGTATATAGAAGATTAAATATTCAAAAAGATAAATCTAAATTATATGAAAGGAAACATATTCAATACATTGTAGTTTGCTACTCATTATCGCTAGAATACTTTGTGTCTTGCTGATAAAGATACTTGAAATAACTTAGTTTAAGTAGATGTAGCATAACAGGTTTTAGGAATTAGTATTTTGAGTTTAATTACTTGTTGGCTTGTAATAGTTTGCATAATTCCAAGGCCTAAAAAAAAATTTAATGCATTATTATTTTTAAACTTACTAGATAAATATATTTTTCACAGGTAAAATTTATTCGGTATGGTTCGATATTTTTTTGGTTTATTTTTATAAAATAAAAAACCTACCCTAATTATCGGTGCGGTTATAAATTTATATAAAAACCTACGGTTTCTTAAAAAGAAGCCTAAAAATTGGTTCGGTCGGTTTAGTCGGTTTTCGAATATCCATTGACACCGCTAATCTAGCATAATCACATAATCTACATAGTTTAAAGTTCAGCTGGGACCAACAGTCATGGATTTCGAAGAATGCCTAATACCTTCTATTCGAAGTAACTTGAGCCCTTACCCGATCTTTGGTGATGTAGACTAATCAAATAGAGTTATTTGCGGATAGGTGCCCTAACGCACCTTAAAAATCGTTAGGTGGCGACTCTTCTCTTTTAATACCTTCCTTAAAAGAGTTGTCACACGTCGAAACTCGCTTTTGCGAGAAAATGGGGCGCGACAAATAATGACACAATATGAAATAGCAAAGGGCTAGGTGTTAGGGGCCTGACTCTTTGACATCTGGCGTGGTGCGGCTGTGGCAAGGATTGGGCGTGATGGCCTTGCCATTGGCCTATGTGCGGGCAAAACGATCATCGAGCAATGGGCAAGACATTGTCATGAGGGTTGTTGTGGGAAAGTATTGGTCAAGGACTTGGGGCACACAAGACATGCTTGGCAAAGGCTTGACAAGGCAGTGTTGGAGGCGGCATGGCATGCGCGCCAAAGTCAGTGGCACGGGCACTTTGGGTTGTGGCAGCGACAAGTGCGGGCTAAGCTAAGGCGAAACAGTACGGGATGATGGCAAAGGCTTTCAATAGCTAAGGCACGACTATGTGAATCAAAATACAAGCAATGGCACGGGTGAAACAAGTGTTGACATGGACAAGGTAGAAACTCGGCCAAGGCATGTGCGGGCGGCAATTGTGTTGGGCGTGTGCGGCAAAATCATGGGCGGCAGGTTGTGGGAAAGGCATTGGTGCGGAGCAATGTCAAAAGAAGTCAACGCTGGGCACAATGCCAGCCTTAGGCATGCAACAACTAACCAAGTCAAGTAGCACATGTAGTGCACATGCCAAAGTAGTTGGCGGTTACCTTTTTGTAACCACTTGTACCCACGTCTGTTTAGTGCTTGTATCCACTATCATTTCGTGTAGATCATGGCCTATGTAGTTGGGGATGTCAACTACAAGATAGAAACAAATTTAGTCTTAGCCCGCCAAGTGAAAAAGGTTGTAGACAACAAGTGTCAATAGGTTGTTAAGTGCCAAAGGTTGCCTATGTGCTATAAATAGGTGCATTTGGACTTAGTTAGATTGTGTGGGAATTTCGTGTGAAATTCAAGTGGGAAACAAGAGAGAAACGTGAGGGTTTCTAAGTGTTTCAAAATGGGGCTAAGGCTGGGCATTGGGCAAGTCTTAGTGTTGGCTATAGAACGACTTGTGTTCTTTGTCAAAGTGAGGGTTTCCTTTGTAAGTTTTCGAATTAATACAAAGGTTGAGATTTTCCCGTATTTGATTGTGTTCTCTTTGCATTTACTGCCTAAATTCGTCTTAGGCCAAATTTGCTAAAAATTTGACTAAGTGTTGGGAAAGGCTGAGTCAAGCGCAACTTGACTGCCGCGCGGGTGTGACTTTAGACTGACTAAAAATGCCCCCGTGACAACTGGTATCAGAGCGGAGTAGGTTCGTGGCGGTGGCAAGACGACCAGTAGCAGATTTCGTGTTGATGTTTGAGAACATGGCTGGTGGCACAAATGGTGAACTTTGCCAAAGGGTGGAGCAGTTGGAAGCACTTGTTGGGTAGGCTCTTGAAGTAGGTGCTGATTCTTCTGCTCTTTCGAGAATAACACGTTTGGAGGAAGATTATGCGGCGGGGCATGAGACTATGCTGACAGAAATGGCCTTGGTACGCAAGGAAAAGGAAGAACTGCGCGAGGAGGTGGTTCAACTTCGAAGGCCATTACAAAACACTGCCTCATAGAAGTGATGATCGCACCAAGGTGAGGATTCCAGAGCCAAAGGCCTATGGTGGTGAAAGAAGTGCCAAAGAACTGAAAAATTTCTTGTGGGATATGGAGCAGTATTTCCAAGCTGCTCGTGTGTTGGATGATGAAAAGGTGACCATTACACCTATGTATTTGACTGATGATGCAAAGGTATAGTAGCGTACACGAGTTGTGGAAGTGGAAAGTGCTGGACTGCCCAAGATTGAAACTTGGGAGATGCTGAAGAAGGAATTAAAATCTCAATTCCTTCCAAGCAACTCGTCATGGGTTGCAAGAGATAGACTGCGTCACTTGAAACAAAGTGGCACGGTGAGGGAGCATGTCAAGGTTCTCATCCTTGATGCTGAATGTAAGTAATATGGCAGAGGAAAACAAGCTGCATTACTTCATGAGCGGATTAAAGGGCTGGGCGCAATTAGAGTTGAGAAGGCAGAATGTTCAAAGCCTCTCTACTGCTATTGTGGCGGCAGATGCGTTGGCTGATTTCAATTTAGGTGATGACCCGGTTGAATCTTCGCATTCAAAGTTCGATGCAAGGAAAGAAAAGGCAAGGGAATGGAAGAAAAGCGGGAAGGGATAAGCTGCCGAAGATGAAGGGTATGACAAGAATGGAAGGCAGGCGGAGACTTCCAATGGCAAGGAAAGAAGCGACAAATTCAAAGGCTGCTTTACTTGTGGTAGACAACATTTGAAGAAGGATTGTCCGGTGCAGGCTAGCGTGAATGCTATGCTGGCTGCGGAGAAACAGGAACAAATGGCGGAGGCAAATGCCATTGTGGAAGATGTGAATGGAGAAACAGGGGCATTGTATATCAACAACCCCTTGGGGGTGATAAACTGAGTTGGCTCGACGAGGACGTCGATTTCACAGGGTGCGGGTGGTTTGTTAGGGGCTTGACTCTTTGACATCGGGCGTGGCGCGGTTGTGACAAGGATTGGACGTGATGGCCTTGCCATTGGCCTATGTGCGGGCAAAACGATCATCAGGCAATGGGCAAGACATTGTCCTGAGGGCTGTTATGGGCAAGTATTGGTCAAGGTCTTGGGGCAGGCAAGACATGCTTGGTAAAGGCTTGACAAGGCAGTGTGGGCAAGTTAGAGGCGGCATGGCATGGCATGCACGCCAAAGTCAGTGGCACGGGCACTTTGGGTTGTGGCAGCGACAAACGCGGGCTAAGCTATGGCGAAACAATGCGGGATGATGGCAAAGACTTTCAATAGCTAAGGCACGGCTATGTGAATCAAAATACAAGCAATGGCACGGGTGAAACAAGTGTTGACATGGACAAGGCAGAAACTCGGCCAAGGCATGTGCGGGCGGCAGTGGTGTCGGGCGTGTGCGGCAAAATCATAGGCGGCAAGTTACGGGCAAGGCATTGGTGAGGAGCAATGTCAAAATGAGCCAAGGTTGGGCGCAATGCCAGCCTTGGGCGTGCAATAACTAACCAAGTCAAGGAGCACATGTAGTGCACATGCCAAAGTAGTTGGCGATTACCTTTTTGTAACCACTTGTACCCATGTTTATTTAGTGCTTGTATCCACTATCATTTTGTGTAGATCATGGCCTATGCAGTTGGGGATGTTAACTACAAGATAGAAACAGATTTAGTCTTAGCCCGCCAAGTGGCAAAAGCTGTAGACAACATGTGTCAATGGGCTGTCAAGTGCCAAAGGCTGCCTATGTGCTATAAATAGGTGCCTTTGGACTTAGTCAGATTGTGTGGGAATTTCGTGTGAAATTCAAGTGGGAAACAAGAGAGAAACGTGAGGGTTTCTAAGTGTTTCAAAAAGGGGCTAAGGCTGGGCATTGGGCAAGTCTTAGTGTTGGCTAAAGAACGACTTGTGTTCTTTGTCAAAGTGAGGGTTTCCTTTGTAAGTTTTCGAATTAATACAAAGGTTGGGATTTTCCCGTATTTGATTGTGTTCTCTTTACATTTGCTGCCTGAATTAGTCTAAGGCTAAACTTGCTGAAAATTTGACTAAGTGTTGGGAAAGGCTGAGTCAAGTGCGCAACTTGACTGCCGTGCGGGTGTGACTTTAGACCGATTAAAAACGCCCCCGTGACACTAGGCATAGCAAAATACAAGACTAGTACTAATATTACAATTCATAATTTGGGGAAGAGAGCATGGGGCTGTGAACCATACTTAAAAGTATAGATCCGCCCCTGGGGACACTACATGCCCGGGCAAATATCATAATCAAACAGCTAGAAAACTAACTAGTCTACATATATATCCTCAAATCTTTATCAAGCAGTTTCAGTTCAGAAGAATTGGATTTCTTTGCCCATTATTAGCATCTAAATACCTGAATAATTCTTACATGCAGTACTTTTGACCTGAAGAAAGACGGAAAAAAGCTAAGAGATCTCATAAATAAGTCATTCTGTTTCTTTTTGCAACGATATCCTTGTAAACTGATTTTCTCAGCGACTGCCAAAAGCAAAAGAACACAAGGCTATCACAGAATCACATTCATCTTATATATTAGGCTAATACATCAGAGTAACTTGGTTGCTGAAAGAACTCATAGTTAATGAAGAAGAATGCCATCAAAAAGACTTATTCATTGTCAATATCATCACAATTAAACTCACCTTATGCCACAATGCACACCACAATTTATCATCACAAATACTAATGCTTTCCGTGAGAGTGACAGATTATCATTTACAGGATAACCCTGAGCTACTCACACTGCTACCAGAAGCCTAGTAAAAAATTCAATAAGGCAACAAAAAGAAAAATAAAACACCGAGAAATAGAGGCGTGTTGAAGAATATCTAACTGCAACAAATGAAACATGAATGTGAATGTGTGAGGCAGCTTGTACAGAATGAATTGACTAAGGCACGTATTCACTCTCTAGGGTTGGTTGTGTTCGTGTCACAGTAGCAGCTGGTGCTTTTGTGCTCCCAATTCTAGTCATATGCAATGCTTCTCCAACCTCCGCAGCCCTCTCCATCTGTTGCATTTTCTTCCTCCTCTTGTACTTGCCCACCCACACTATCAGAAGGCCTAACAAAAACAACAATACTAGTCCTCCTGCAACCGAACCAACAATTATCCCGACCTTTGACTTGTTTTTCTTTCCCTTACCTGCTGGTACGCGTGCTTCCTTTGGAGCGCCTCCTGGTGGTGCAGGAGAGACTGGAGCAGGAGGAGCGATTGACTTGACAACAATAGAGAAATGCCCCGGTAGAAAGGTCGTGCATATGTTGTCCGACAATACACTGCTGAAATTCACTGATCCTTTTAAATCAAATGAAACACACATAGCAGATGATCCAACAGGCGCCGGCTTGACATCTGAAAACCTTATTGAGATGGGCTGACCAGAAGCCCTGATGTCCAACTCAGGCAAGTAAATTGCTGAAAGGTTTGATGCATCATAAGCAAGAAGACCCACCACAGGAGTCAAGTACATGTAACCAGGTAAACTATAATATCTTGCAGACCAATTGCCCAAATTTTGGTAGACCAATACAAGCCTCTCAACATAAGGTTGCTCAACGACCCCAACAGGTATCTGAAACTCTTTGTACGTTGGAACACCTCTGGTCCATAAACTGCCACTCCTGAGCCTCATGGCTGACACCTTAATCCCTGTCAAATTCAATGGCACATCTCCATCATAAACAACACCTGTCCTCGGACGGGCAAATGCACGATAAGCATAATCTTGGAGGAGTGCATCTAATGCCCTTGCAGCTCCCAGGGAAGAACAACTCCCTAAACGTGGCAAGAAACATAGCCACAATAGAAGAAGACGCATCGAGAGGCTTTCAAGAAGCCCCATCGATGCTTCACAGTTTCAGACAACCAGTACAATCTTCCTCAGCCCTCACACTGCAGATCCGACAACTCACAAAGACAAGGTCAACCCCCAAACGACAGTACTCTACTTATATGGTGACAAGTCTTCAGATCCAAAATAAGCCTTTAAACAAAAAACCTGGCCGACCATGTCATCTACTTTTAGTGCTTCGACGTGGCTCCAACTTCACACTTAAAGTAGTATTTCAAAAGCCACAGATGGTAGCAGAATAATCTAGTACAGCATATGAAATGTGACAACAACTGTACCAAAAAGATCCATTCTTGGGGGGGATGGATAAAGCAAGCAGAGCTGGCACTTTCACCCGTTAACAAAGTCACAAGCTCTAAAACAGCTTTTTTACCTTTGTATTTCTTACTCAGCAAAGAGACTAGCGTAAAAATAAGAGCTTAATAATCCCTGCGAAACCCTAATTACTCAACTTCCTTTATAAATCCTTACCCAAAACCGTAATATTGACTTGATTTAATACTCAGATTAGAGCATTTTACGGAGATAGAGCAATGTAGATTCGTTAGATGACCAAAAATTTTCTACCATCTGTGAGTTGATAAGCAAATTACCTGAGCTAAGGTTACCAGTATCACTTTCAAAACCCTAATCCACGAGACTCACGCTTAATGTGGAGAAAATTGATTGTAGCGGAAGCTTAAAAGCAAGTTTGGCATTGCTATGAGGCTAGAATCAAGGAAGCAGACCGCTCCAAGAACCCTAAAAAGTGCAAAGCATTCTGCATTCTTTCTAACTTCCGTACAGAAACAGGATTGAGAGATCGATGTGCCACAATTGAATAGGCACACGACGTCGTTTTAGTAAGCAAATATTACTGTCTGGTCGAATCTCCAGCGACCGGAGATATGGAAACGGAGCTGAAAAAGCAGACGGAGAAGATTAAATCTAGAAGTTTCTTTGTACAGAGAAGAGAAGATAAGCTTGGAGATGAAATGGTGGGGAGAGTGTAGTTGGGTGTGAAGAGAACGAAGAAAAGTGAATAAGGCTAAAAGACAGATTAAGAAACAATAGAGTGGGCCTTATTTGGGCTAAAATGTGAATACACTTTAATAATTACTACTAATTCCCTTATTTTTAAGTGTTGTACTATTATTATTATTTTAATTTAATACATCAATATATTTACACACACCACCTTTATACAGCTGTATCATCGTGTGAATATGAATAATGGAAACAAAGAATCAAGTCAAAGATGAACCCACTTCCGTCAATGAGTACATATTTGTGAATATTTATTTTATAGAAAAAAGAGCTGGATTTGTTATAAAATAAAAGTAATTTAGTAAAACATGAACAAGACATGTTGTTATGAAATAAAAATAATTTAGTAAAACATGAACAAGAAATGGAGATAGAGAGAAGGAAGAGATTTTCTTCTTCAATTGTGTGTATTTTCTTATCTATTACAAAGCCTTTATATAGGCATGAAAAGTGAAGAAAAATATGTCATTGAATATGTCATTAAGCATAGAAATATGTCATTGAATATGTCATTAAACATTTGAGAAGATCACGGAGGAAGAGTAGACATCCACCATAATTTGATTTTTCTTATAACACTCCCCCTTGGATGTCCATAGATAATGTGCCTCGTTAAAACCTTATTAGGAAAAAACCCTATAGGAAAAAAAAATCTAGTGAAGAAAAAAGAGTACACATGTTTAGAAATACGCCTTTTGGTTGTCTCGTTAAAAACCTTGCAAGGAAAACCCAGTGGGACAAAACCTTGTAAGGAAAAAAGAGTACAATGAGTATTAACTCTCCCTGATGAGAGCATCAATTCACATCATTGAGCCTTCGCATCCCAATCTTGTACACTAGTTTCTTGAAGGTTGACGTCGGTAGAGTTTTGGTGAACAGATCAGCCATATTATCACTTGAACGGATCTGTTGCATATTGATATCACTACTCTTTTGAAGATCATGTGTGAAAAATAACTTTGGTAAAATTTGCTTTGTCCTATCCCCTTTAT